ATACGAAGGGAAATTACAATTCATCCTCTGAGAATTATTTTGAAAATAGATGAGGGAAACATAGAACTAGTGATTATGCAAGCCTGTTATCTTCTTTATCACTTCAGCATGCACAAAGTTTCCTACTCGCTATTTAAACTGTAACCAAGTTAATATGAACGGAAACATCAATTTAACTTGCAAGCAGGTTTGGTGCTGCTGAGATTATCATGCTGCAACTCCAGAGGTTGTAAAGCTTCGTCACTGTTTACTTCACAGTTCGTTTTCATTATCCTGATAACATACCTTGTGGTGTTGCTCAGAGAGCTGTCATACCTTAGTACCTGAATGATGTCAACATAGACTTCAGTCTGTTGCAGAAACAGCTAATTCTTCTGACTTAGCCTATTTGAATGGGAGGGAAAAGTGTTTTTAATGAGTCATGAGTGCATCTGGGGAGACAGCTTGCCCTCCCTGACACACCAGCAGCGTATGATGTTTGTAATCTTTCCTTTCAGTCTTCTCTGATAATTGTCAGTCTCCCTCATGTTAGATGAGACACGAGTTATTAATCTCTGATATGATCTGTGTTGGTCATTTTGTGCTCCTGCCACCTGAAGAGGTTACTGTCTGTCCTGCAGAGACAGGCTAACTTGCCCCACTCCTCACTGAGTTAGCTTTATCTATTCCTTATCAGGTCAGTCATGTTGTGAAGTCTGTTCTCTTCTGTGGTAGGATGGTATCTTCTCCACTATCTCCTCCTCCAAACCTTGCACTCACTTAACCTTGTGAGTTTCTCCCCGATTTCCAGGGGAAACCCCTTAATATCTCATCTGAACATATACCTGCTATATCAAGTATCAGATACGTACTGCTGGGGCATGGAGAAAGGATTTCTTCTGCATGGCACTGCATGCTGTTTGAATAGGTTAGCTGTGCCTGCTTTGCAAGGAAGAATTCTGGAAAACAAAACCATGATGCCTTCATAAGAAAGGTGGTTGTCAGCTTTTGTCACTGAAGATCTGCTGCTTTGCAGTGTGTTTCATCTCTAGGGGATAGCTTTTCTCTGCATACCTGATGGGTGCATCTGCCTACCCTGGCTGTGTGCATCACGCGGCTGTTGAAGCTTCAAGAGAGAGAAGGGTGCCAGGACAGACTGAATGCCTCTTCATTGCCACTGTGTTATAGTGATGAGGGATCTGCTCACTCTGTGTTTGTTTTTTTTTTTTTTCTCCCCTTTGGTTCTTAAATTGATGACTGTGCTGCATGAAGAGTCCTTTTTGTTTTTAATAGAGGATTGGCTATCCATGTTTTGTGACAATTTCAGAAACATACTGGGTTGGTTTCTCTTGTTTGCTAGTTACAAGTATTGCGCCTTATCAGCAGACAATTAGTTTTGGTAGTTAGGTCAGAGTTACTTGTGTATGCCATAGCTGCCAAACACTGACTTCCTTCCTTGGGACAGTTTGAGGTCACGCAAGAAATGATCTGGAGGAGTTCTGGCAAGGGATTACTCTTAGCTGTTGACGTTCTCATGCAACTCCACCTTTGTGTTGCTCACTGCTGTGAGAGGTAGGAAGGCTGCATATACTTAGCTCATGCAATTAGCTTAATACATCTGGGAAAGCTCTCAGGTGATCACATGTGGAATAAATCTGGTTCTCTGGGAAGCGGCAGATCTTCTGTCCGTTCATCACAGTTACATCATGCAACAAGAAGGTGCTACAGTATGTGGCCTTCCCTTGATGTTGTAATAGGCAAACTGCTTTCCTTGGCTAGGAAAGTTGGGCTATAAGTACTGGCATGTGACTCCGTAATAATCATGCCCAATAAATTCTTAGTTTAGTTGTAGTTGTTGGTGATGAAACCTGCGCAGTGGTTTGCTGTCTAAGAAATGTGACGTTCTGCGAGTAATTTTCTTGTCAGATTTGTGTGGAATTGTTTGGCACAAGTACTTGTTTTTAAAATTATATAACCTATATTGACAATGGTTTATTATGTTGAACGCATAATACTGTCCAAGCATTAAGGAGAGAATTGTCTGAATACGAGATACAATTTAGTACGGTTGGGGACCAAGTGAGAGCAGGGGTGACTTAATATTTATAATTAAAGCAGATCTGAGTCACTCCTACTTGTAAGCTTGTGAAGTGCAATGATACATAGTTGGGTGGGTTTCACTTGCTTTTGTCTTTTTCCCTAGCAGAAACGGGATAGGGAAGTCCTTGAAGAGCAGAGATTTTGAGATTCAAAACCATATTTATGTGTTTGAGGAAGTCAGTTTGTTGGAGCACAGTGATAATATTAGCCTTTCAGTCAGCACCTCAGTCCTGGACCATTAGTGTGTAGCACAAAAGGGTTTTGTGTCACTTTTTGAGATCTTAACCTAAAGAATCCCAAGAGAAAAACAACCCACCGGTCTTACTGAAAGTCATTTTGGTTGTATCTGGAGTATACCCAAAAATAGAAGTTTCATCTAACTGGGTTTTGAAAGATAGTTTTCTGATTTCTGGACTTTTCATTTAATGTTACAGTGAAATTTCCAGGTGGCAGATTGTTTTACAGTCAAATCATTCAAATCAACTTAAATGTGACTATATCTGAATATAAGTTTCTTATAAGTTTCTATAGCTGAATGTAGGTTCTGCTTACCTTGGGTCCTGTGCAAGGCTTCTTTTACAAGACCTGTAGAAAACATTTTTGAAAAAGTTAAAGGAGGTTGATAGAAGATCTCCCCATAGTGTCCAAAAGCTTATGCTTCAGTTGGTTCATAAGCGACTGTAGGACCCTGCCAGAAGTCATCAACCCTAAGGCTTTGAAAAGCTGTCGGATGCTCTGGAGTTTAGAGAATATCTTTTTGCATTGGATCATTTATTTTAATTGGGAACTAAGAAGCTGTTGTGGATGAAACTGTCATCAAACCAGAGTGCCACTGTAGAAAGTTTAGGTTTCTTCCTAGTTTCCTTATCTGCTCACACTCTTGTGTGTATGTGTTTAAATGGTCATGGTTATTGCTACTTCTTATGTGTTGATAGTCTGGCTCTGTCTACGGTTCTTAAATAAACTACTTTCTTTAGCAATTGAAATGGGGTCCTTTGCCTCTGGAGGGTTTCAAAATAAGGGAATTTGCACAGACTAAATGGAAAGTAGCATGGTAATTACAGCTCATGCTGTATTTTGGTTTCGCTTAATTTACAGTCTGAGGTACAGGAAGGTAGTCGGGCATTTGAATGTTACAACTGTTGCAGTCTAATCACAGGAACCTAGTAAGACTACTCATATGTTCCTTTCTGCAAATTCATAGAAATGTTAGTGGAGACTATGTACTTGATTACACATGGAGAAAAACTAAATGCTGTAAATAAAACTGTAAATACAATTGTCACTCAGTGATGGGGCAAAAAATACGCCTTTTAAAATCTGTAAAGTTTCCATGTAGAGTGTATTTATTGTTGTAAATTTAGCAACTGCATGGGGAGAAAAAGTGTTGATATTTCATTTAAATAATAATAATAAAAAAGCATCTCTCAGATGGAGCAGTGTTTTTGTACTTTGAAAAGAAAGTAGAGATGAACATCATGCCACATTAGCAAGATTGAATTGATTGTATACTGTTTAAGTTGAAAGTAGACCAATATTTTTAAAATGGATTTTTAGTTTAAAATCTTGCCTGTTTATGGTTTGGTTCCCCTAGACCAAATTAACTTGGACACCCGGCTGGGATTCTGTTTATTCTGGCGTAAGAACAGGCATTGGGCAGAGCATCTTGGTCCCAAAAACCTGGTAATGGTGAGAGGCCTCTGTAATGTTCCCAGCCAGCTGAATGCCTGAGGTATTTTGCCATACAGGAAATCAATTGCAGCTGACTGTGCGCTGTTTCTACTCCAAGTATATAAACATGCTTTATGGTGATATTAAAAAGAAAAAAGAAAAATCCAGTCTTACATTTAATAGCTACCTGGAAGTCCAGAGTGAGAACATTTGATGTTCTGTTCTTTGGGTTCTTCCCTGTCGTGTCTGGCTGAGTCCATAGCACAGAAATAGCTATGAAGGAGAGGCAAGGCAATTTAATCTTGATGTGCTCCAGAAGAGGCAAACATAAGCTCATGTTTCAGAGAAATGAAAATAATAATTAAAAAAAAAAAAAAAGTTATCCATGTTTGATTTCTGGTTGACCTTCTGAATAATATTGTGGAGGCTGGAAGGATTGTAAATTTAGGAAAGGTTAAGTTTAAATCAAGAGACCTGTGGTTCTGATGGTTTAAAGATAAGTCAATAACTTTTGCTAGAAAGATCTGCATCACAACTGTATCATAGAATCACAAAGGTTGGAAAAGACCTCCAAGATCATCTGGTCCAACAATCACCTTACCACTAATCAAAACAGTTGTGTTTTGTGAAGTGCCAGCCAAAATGGTATTTTCATTTGGATTCATTCTTTGTTGATTCTATGAAAATAGCTAGATCAGATGCAGCTACCAGGCAGGTGCTAGGAGATAACTAACGGAACAGATTTGCTTTAGAGCTACTGATGTATCCTTATATTGCTTAGCAGGAAAGTGGGTGGCTCATTAGATAGGAGTTTCCAGGCATTAAAGACAATTAGGTTTAAAATCTGTGATAACAATTTCTAGAAGCAATGTGGCCTGAAGCTTTCAGAGTTTAGATCTTGGCAATTTGAGAACACTTTCCTGCTCTGAATCAGGCTCAGACTATAACCTCAGATAATCTATTTCAACTAGATTTTAACAACACGTAGGTAGGTAGGTATTCGCAGAGGTGGTAATGGGATTTTCAGAATCACATTAGTGTCTAATTCCTATTCAAAACCTAATACCTTTTAGTCTGTATGAACCAAATTCAGCCCGTGCTACATTTTATTCAGCTTCTCTAAGGCAAAATGCAAAGGCAGTGCTGTGAGTGTGGCTTCACGTGCATACAGCATATCTTCCCTGACAGGTTAGAGTTGTGCTCTGTTTTATTTTTTCTCTAATTCCATAACTGTTGTTCTCCTTTTACAGAATGTCGTAGCTTGAACAGAAGAGAGGAAAATTGACTCCACTTTGCCTAACCTAACAGTGATTTCTTCGGTGAGTGCTCTACCAAGTACATATTATCATTATTATTTTCTTTTTATAAGCAAAGAGATCATGTTTGTGCCTCTGTCTGAGCTGAATATTGGCATTCAGTGAAAATACTCCAAGTTAACCATAAGACTGCTTAACATGTAAATCCCAAATAAGTCTATGTACAATAAAGCTCAGAAATGTTAGCTAAGATGATGGTGGGTTTTATTGATGTGTGTGCAAGTGGAGTTTTATGCTAATGAAATAAAAAATTTGAGGCACCTAAGCAGTTATAGCAGGTCTGTAATTTTGTTGCAGTTATAGCAAGTCTGCAATTTCAGCATCTGTTTCAGTAACTCAATTTTTGCTAAAGATCTGTAGCTAAAGTTTTGGTAAGTCTCTTGACTCCTCCATCCTTTTGGAGGTAGGAGTGCTATTTTTATGGTGAAGGAATGGTCTTGTAATTATGAGGAGTAGGGGGCTTGGAAGATCTGGGACATCTGCATTCTGTAGAGGTTTCTAATATTGCTTATGTCATTTTGAGAAGGAATTGTTCTTTCTGAGTTTATTTTTTTAAGGGTTTAATTTTCTTTATGTACTCTTACTACCTAAAGGTCCTGCAGGACCTGAAGATCTTGAGATAATGGGAAAAAACAGATTTAGATATCATGGAAGTGTCTCTTGATTAGAGTAGGCAACTTCATTTGTTTCACTATCTAAACCATATTGACGTTGCAGAGATCTTCATAGAATCATAGAATATCCTGAGTTGTAAGGGGCTCACAAGTATCACTGAATCCAACTCCTTCATGATGGGGGTGGTTTGAGATTCCCCAGTAAATGTTAATCAAGAAGATGGCTTTAGGCAGGGTCCCTTTTTCACTCCTTTTCCTCCTTTCTTACAAATGTCTCAGTCTCAGTGCCAACCCAGAGGAGTCTTTTCTTCTCTTTGAAGAAAGTGGGCATTCAGTGATGGGCTTTGTGGGTAACTGCACGAGCACTGGTATTTGGAAAAACTCATTGACTTATAAATAACCTGTTTCACTGCTTTCAGATAGAGCATCTAATGCTGAAACCGGTATAGCGTGGATCAACTTAAAAAAAAAATGTTAATTGCCACTCTGGTTTCTGTGAGCTGCAAAGGGAATACTAATGTGCTATGTTAGGACACCCTCTTAATATTTGTTTTATACTGTTGGTGGTAGGGTTTTTAATATATTTTTGTAGTATGTATTGATGATCCAGTTGTGTTCAAATATTAACACAGTTTTAGGAGAGTGGCAGCTTTAAGTCACTTCCAATATTTTGAGATTGCATAGCCTTAATACATAGGCAGTAGTGGAATTGCTTAGCATTCAGCTGAAGCTTACATCTGATAAACATTAGAAAGATCTTTCCTGTGGATCCAAAGGGTAACAGTCTGCAAGCAGGAAAGCATTTTGCAGATCTGGGCTGAGAGGAAAGACCAGAAATTTTTCTAAAAATAGTAACTTGAATTTGAATAGTGTTGCAGTTTTGATTTGAATAGCGTTGCATGATTTAACATATGTTAACAACAACAAAAAAGGCGTGACCTTAATTCGGTACACTATTCAGTTGCATCTATTATTTGATGATTGGTTAATTACTAGCATATTTTTTTTCCTCCACAGTTATGGAGGCTGGGCTGTATGTTCCCAGGCCCCACACAGCAAATTGTCTTTTTTAGCTTGAAATTTATGCATATCAAAATGCCCATTAAGTATTGGCCTCATGACCTTAGGAAGTGAATTACTTGCACAAATTCTTTCCCTTCTCCCTGATTTCCATTTCATTTCAAATGTGCCACTTGGCCTTGATTTTGAGTTGGGGTTGATTTTAATATGCTTGCATGATAAACAGAAAAGCTGAATGAGACTGTCAGACTTAATAACTTCTTTTCTGAAAGCTGAGACAATGGGGCTTATACATGTCCTAAGAAGCAGAGGATTTCCTAAAATTCTTTGGGATACATGGCATATAGCTTACGGTGTTCCAGAATATCGTATCAACAAAACTAGGGTGTGTGGAAATGTTTCTACTGAATGGATATTTATTCAAGGGCTAGATGAAATGTATTTAGTAAGGAGTTAGTTTTCTTTCGTTGTCCCATGAAATTATAATGAGTGGTGTTCTGTAAAAGGGATATCTTAATGGTTTGGGCAGATACAGCTTCTAGGGATGGATGTTAACTCCGTAGCAAATAACTATTAGTAATTTTGGTAAATTTGCTTCACTTTCCAGAATTAAATCTGTAAATTTTAAGAATGTTTTCTTTCTGGAATTGTTTTGGGGGCATGAGGCAGACAGTTTATGAAATTTGTTTTATATTTTTGTTATCCATGTGACTTGTATAACAACATTGTGTGCTTTTAATTGTTTCAATAAGGTGCTGTTTAGAATACAGTAATCCTTGGAAAGAATTAATGAATATGAGCAAGCAACTCTTAAAATCATTACATCTGCTGTAGCAGAGGAGGAAATATCACATCAATCTACATGTTCTAACAATTGAAAATGAGTTTTAATACACAGTGTGTTTATGCTAAAAGCCAATACATATTTAAAAAACAAACAAAAATTTCTTGACGATCTGTGCGTCACTGATTGCTTTGTTTAGGCCAGGTCTTTAATGGTATGAAGGCTTGCAAAACTGTGTGGGGGTGGAAAGAATGATGCATGCCCATGCGTAAGGTTTTCTGTAAGTCTGGTCTATTTTTGGTATGCAATGGAGCAGAGGTATAGTGCAAGAATAGCGTTTCGGTTGGGATATGAAGGCCTGTGAAGGCTTTTTCATTGCAGAAAGTGCCCACTGGATTATTAGTGCAGTTGCATTAGTATCCATGGGAATATTGAGGGCTTAATTTAGCATACTAGATTAGGGTCTAGTGCCATAATTAAGGCTACAAATTTTTCATAAGTTTCCCCTAAATCTTTTGCAACTGATTGTAGCCAGGCTAAAATAGAAACAATGTGAAGTGAATCTTTAGGGTTGTAAATTGTTGATGGTTTTATGAAACCTGTCTTTCTACTTCGCTACAGAGAAGCTGACCGGTAAATGTGATGTTTAACACAAGTATGTGCAGATCTGACTAGATTTCTCAAAATATAAATACAAATAATTTGCCGGTGACCTACTGAATGTCTAAACACTTACTACATTTAGACTAACAGTTTTATAAAAATCATGGTAACTCTTTAAACAGTCTTTTTTAATTGGTAAAAACATTTTGTCCAGGTGCTCCTTAATTTTATTGTCAGTTCATGTGTTTCACGTTTTCAGCTGTGAAAAGATTCAGTGAAAAGAATTGTCTGGACAAATTCAGTAATAACATAATTAGGATTTTGTATATTCTGTGGTCAAAGGATTCTTTTGATTTTTTTTTGTATGTTAAACTGTTGAACACAATTTCTTATATGTACCTTTAGTTTTTTGTTTTTTTTTTTTTTAAATTAGATCCCCAAAGACAAGCTCATTCACCCTTGTATTCCCCCTTCACTTGCTCAGTGGTCAGTCCTTTCCCACTGCCATCTCCTATTGTTACGGTCAAATGATCAAGGAAAAGTGCATGCTTCCTTTTGTGTCCAGTAGATAGGAGTTCTTAATTGATGACTGCTGCTTTCTTTCTGACATAAAGGAAACGAATGGGCAGTAGTGATTATAGCACATCTGTTGTTTTCTGTCGGGCATCCTGTGCAGCAGTGATACTGTCTTGAAGACTACTTTTTTTTTCCTGTTAGGGACTAGTTAACAGGGGGGATATGGGTGACATGTGACAGTATTGTTCCTTTGTCGCAGGTGTAGCCAGAGCAGAAAAACAAGCTGCAAGCTGGGACAGATAGAGTTGTTTATATTTTAGAAAAAAAAAAAAGAAAAAGAAAAAAATTGTTAAAGCTTTGGGGATGTGTACTGTATTTTGATTGTCTGGGATAGGTAAAGAGGCCTGTCTTCAGAGGGCATTCCCTGCATGGTAGGTGTAAGCTCCAAAATCACACTGGAAATGGCTTCTGCTGGGGAGAGGGAGAAACAAAATAGCGTATGTAGCCAGGGTATGAAAGCTGAAGCATTCACACTACCACTACAGTTTCTAGGATCCAGTTTTTCAGCCTGTGGGATTGTTGTTCATCTCTTGTTTGACCATCTTTTGCTTGCTGTGTTGTACAACACCCAGGAGAGCTGAGGCCTGGAGGACTCAGGTGAGCTTTTTCCAGGGACAGAGCTGGGGAAGATCCCTATCTGGCTTTACAGACCTCAGGGAAGCAAGTTTGGGGAACTGATGAACAATGAAGTTAGGAAAGGGTCTGGCACGAGTGCAGAAGGGGGCTTGAAGGTTGAAGGTGGAGAAGACAGATGTTGGGAAATGATTGAGGGAGGCCAGTAAAGCAGCTGGGTGAAACAGGCACGGGGTGGTAGTGCAGTGTTTCACCACTTGTCCTGTGCATCATACCAACCATGCTTTTTTGTCTTTCTGACTTGTATCATAAAGAAGTAAGTGGAAGTGGGATGTGCAAACCCCCAAGAGTGTCCACAGGAAACATTTTTGCTCTCTCTTGCATCACAAGGTGTGTGGAAAAAACGCGAACACGCGAACTGAAGGAGCTCTGTAAATCAGAGTCCTTACCACTTAATTTGTTTTTCTTTGAGTCTTCCTTTTCCCATTTATTATGTTTAATTGCAGCATTTCTTGTGAGAAAGGTGCCAGTACTCTGTTTTTGCACAAGCTAAATATTTTGGTACTTAAACTGACAATGTTTATGTTGAGCTTGGATGAAGCTGGTTGACTAAAATTAGTACACTGGGCAGCACTGCCCTCTTTGGAGTTTCTGATGTGTGTTAGATAAAATAGTGTGTGGGTTGTGTGTGTGTGTTTTTTTCTCTAGTTCTTTTTTGCCATTTTTTGTACCAAAATCTTCTCTGCTCATGTCCTCTTACAAGAGCATCTCCATCACTTAACAGAGGAGGTGTTGAGATGTACAACTTTGCATCCATAAGATGCTATTTAGCT